TCTGTCTGTCTGTCTGTCTGTCTGTCTGTCTGTCTGCCTGTGTGCATGCATGCATGCATGCATGTAATGTGTGTGCGTATGTATGTATGCATGCATACGTTGAATGACAATATGTGGTGTAATGTGCATGCATGTATGTACGTATATGGATGCATGGCTGCATACATGCATGCATGCATGTGTGTACGTATGTGCGTGTGTATGTGTATATAGATGGACGTAGGTATGCATACGTGTATGCCCGTATTGATTCATTTATGTACGTCTATATGATGTATGTGTGTATGTATGTGTGTCTTTAGATTGCAGCCGCAGGACACGAACATAAAACCGATAAACCGATAAACCGATCAACCGATAAACTATTTCGGTTGATCGGTTTATCGGCAGATCGACCGATAAACCGATATGATTATGTCGGTTTATCGGTCGATCTGACGATAAACCGATCAACCACTAAACCGACTCATCGCATGCGTGCCCGAATCTCAGCACAGCTTGGTTTTATCAGTTTATCGGTTTATCGGTATATCGGATGTTTCAGTTTATCGGTTGATCGGTTGATCGGTTTATCGGCCCGGCGTTGTCGTGGTTGTCCAATGGGTAATCCTTCGAAATTCTCTCTCCTCTTCCTCCTAGTCCTCCCCTTCCTCTTCCTCCTAGTCCTCCTCCGCCTCCGCCTCCTCCTCCTCCTCCTCCTCCTCCCTCTTCCTCCTCCTCCCTCCTCCGTTCCGATCCTCCCTCCCTCCCTCCCTCTCCTCCTTCCCTCCCTCACTGGCCCCGACGCCCATGGTTCTCCTAGTCCTCCCTCCCCCTCTTCCTCCTAGTCTCCTCCGCCTCCCCTTCCTCTTCCTCCTAGTCCTCCGGGTGGCCAGAGGGGTGGCCAGAGGAGAGAGTGGTCGGTGGTACCAGCCGTCCTGTGATATATTCGCCCCCAGCCAACCTCTGGTATGTTTGTCCCCGGCCGTCCCGTGTTATATTTGCCCCCTGCCGACCTGCGATTTGCAGATGCTCCGCGCGCAGGCGGTCTTGCGGGAAACGAAATCTGGCAGGGCACTTCGGGCTAGGATGTTGTCGGTTTCTACCGTGCTTAGGCGGGGTGGAGGGGGGGCTCCTTCTCCCCCTCCCCCTCCTTCTTTGCGCTTTAGGGGTTTCGCATTTCTCCTCTCCTCCTCCCCTTTCCTCCTTCTCCTTCCCCTCTCGCGGAGTCTTGTCGGGGCTCTGCTCCTCGTGGAGTCTTGTCGAGGCTTTGCTCCTGGAGCCGATCGCCGTCCGTCCTTTCGTACAATGTGATCCAGACCGACGCAAAATGGCGCGCCAGATTTTGCCCCCCACCGAAATTTGCCCCGCCAGATTCTGCCTCCCGCGCGGCTGCCGCCATCGCCATCATTATCATCAGCATGACCTTCCTCTTCCTCATCTTGAGACATCCTCGCAGCGCTGACCTCTGATATGCCCTGCCCCAAATTGTGCTGGCCATTTCCGCCCACGCAAAAACTCGCCTCGTTCACCTGGGGGGGATGCGCCCAGCCTTGAAATAGTCTGACCGCCGATCCGCCCCGGGATGCGATGTTCAGACAACTTTCGCCCGGGGCGCCCTCGCACTTCTGACTTCGGAGGTGCCGTGCCCCATGGCGGTCCGACCACTTTCGCCTGCGACATCCTCGCAACAGCGGCTTCCGAGACGCCTATAGCTGACCTCTTCAGGCCACTTTCGTCTGAGGCAACGACCTCGCATATGCCCTGCCCCAAGTTGGTTCGGCCACTGTCGCCTGAGACCCTCGCAGGCCCTGCACTACCCGCGCAAAGCATCGCGCGCGGCGGGAGATGCTCGGACCCCTGCGGGACTCCGTCCGCACCAGAGACTCAGGCTCATCAGGCCGAGCCCCACCAGAGCGGGGTGCGCCGTCCGCGCCAGAGCCAAACGCAAAACTCACGCCGTCGCCGTCGCCGTCGTCGTCGTGGCGGGGGACTGACAACCAGCCGATAACCCGATAAACCGATAAACCGATATGCGGCGCAAGGGTCGCCTCCACAGGTTCCCCCCCAGCGGTCTCAGACCAGCCAGTCAACCGATGAACCGATAAACCGATAAACCGATAAACCGACGAAGAGAGGGGGGCGCGCCAGCAATCGCCTCTATGTTCGCATGCGAAGATTATCGGTTTTTCGGTTGAGCGATCGATCCACCGATAAACCGATCAAATTATATCGGTTTTCGGTTGATCGGTTTGCAAACCGTTCAACCGATTAGCTTTTATCGGTTGATCGGTTTATCGGTCGGATGGATTTCCGGAAGCCGTTGCCGCTGTAATATTTAGATATGTCTGTATGTATGGATGCATGTAGGTATGTATGTGTGCATGCATGCATGCATGTACGTATGCATGTACGTATGTATGTATGCATGCATGAATGCATGCATGCATGTATGTATGTATGTATGTATGTGTGTATGCATTTATGTATGCACGTATGTCTGAGCGTACGAATGCATGCATGCATGCATGCATGCATAAGTGCGTGCGTGCGTGTGTGCGTCTTTGCGTGCGCGCGTGTAGGTGTGTATGCATGTATGCAGGTATTTACGTACGTACGTAGGTACGTAGGTACGTAGGTACGTATGTATGTATGTATGTATGTTTGTAACTATTTATGTATGTATGTCTGTATGCATGTAACATGTGTGTGTATGTAAGCGTGCATGCAGGCATGTGTGCATGTGTTTATGTCTGGATGTATGGGTGTACGGATGGATGGATGTATGGATGTATGCATGTCTGTCTGTCTGTCGGTCTGTCGGTCTGTCTGTATGTATGCATATACGTATATAGTGCGCGTCTGTATGTATGTGTGTGTATGTAGGTCTGAATGAGTGCACGTATGAGTGTAAATGTACGTGAATGTATGTATGCACATGTATGTATGTATGGCTGCATGCATGCATGTATGTGTGTACGTATGTACGTGCGTATGTATATGTGTAGATATATACCTATATATATTTATCTACGTATGTTTGCACGTACGTAGGTATGTATGCATCATCTATGTCCGTATGTATGTACGTGTGTACGTATGTATGTATGTATGTATGGACGTCTGTATGTATGGACGTCTGTATGCATGCATGTGCGTGTATATATGTATGTATGTATGTATGTAGGTTGGTAGGTATGTATGTATGCGTGCGTATGCATGTATGCATGTATGCATGTATGCATGTATGCGTGGATGCACGGATGCATGTATGCAGGTATGTATGTATGTATGCATGCATGCATGCATGTATGTATGTATGTATGTATGTATGTGTGTATGCATGCATGCGTGCGTGCGTGCGTGCGTGCGTACGTGTATGTGTTTATTTGTGCATGCATGCATGCATGCAGGCATGCATGTGCGTATGTACGTATGCACATATGTATGTATGTGTTGATGTATGCATGTATGTATGTATGTACGTACGCACGTATTCATGTACGTATGCATGTAACGCGTGTATGTATGCAAGCGTGCATGCAGGCATGCATTCATGTATGTGTGTACGTTCGCATGCATGCATGTATGTATGCATGCATGCAGACATGTGCGTCTGTTTTATGTATTTTGTTTTGTCGTATATATATATGCATGCATGTATGTGTGTATGCATGTATGTCTGTATGCAGGGATTTCTGTATGCACGTATGCAAGTACGTACGTACGTACGCATGCATGTATGTATGTATGGCTAACATGTATGTCTATATGCATACATGTATGTAGGAATGCGTGCATGCATGCATGCATGCATGCATGCATGCATGTATATAGGTATGCAAATATGCATATAATCTAAGTATGAACGTATGCATGTATGTATGCATGCATGTATGTCATGCCATGTATGTATGTATGCATGTATGTATGTATGTATGTATGCATGTATGTGTGTACTCACGCATGCATGCATGCATGCATGTCTGTTTGTATGTATGAATGAGTGTTTGTATGTGTGTATGTGTATGCATGTAAGTGTGCATATAATTTGGGCTGCCTCGCCAGCAGTATGGCCATCAAGGAATGCTTTTGCAGCCAGCATTAATGCTGGCCTGCGCGAGCTGCTCCTCCTCTTCCTCCTCCACACCTCCCGCTCATGCGTTTTTTTGTTTGGTTTGTTTGTTTATTTGTTTGTTTGTTTGTTTGTTTGTGTGGTTATGTCTTGTAAACTAAGCGCTTCTGCTCTTCTGTCTGCACAGCCGCCGCAGCCGCAAAGCGGAGCCTCCAGCGTGTGCGCGCTATGCTTCTGCTTTGCCCACACGATCTGGCGTGTGGCATGACTGCCTGAGGGGGGGCAGAGAGATGCGCCGGGGAGCTCGGGCCCCTATCCCCCTTGCTCTCACGGGACTGTGGACTCCAGGGGAGGGGGACACGGTGGTTTGGTGACTTCGTGGACCGTTCTCATTTTGATTTCGTTGCGCAGCACAGGTAGAACGAGGACAGAATGAGGGAAACGAACGTACAACAAGGACGGAGAACACTGTTTGGCTTTAGCCTGGTTTTGGACCCCCAGGGAGGTAGGATCCCAGAATGGCTTCCCTACTGGGCCCTCTCAGGGCCTCCGCCCTCTGTGCCACTCTTGTGTCTGCGGGACTTGGTGCTCGGAAGCCTCGCTCGATTCCAACAGCTGACAGATCCCACCCTTCCGATGGCGGTGCCCTACACCTCTTGCGAGGTGCTCTCGCAGTACTGTCAATGCGGCGGCGTGGCCGTGGGTCTGGGTGGTGCGTCCTTCGAATTACGTTTCTCGAACGCGTGAACCAATGAGCGCCTCCAGTATGGCTCGAAGGAAGGCTCCAGAGGTCTCCGCGATGGCGTAGAGGGCCAACAATAGCCCCCAAGAGGGTCTAGCTCGCACCCGAGGTGGTCTAGGATGGCCTCCAAGACGGCCCCCCAGGCGGCCCCAGCCGTCGCAAAAGGGTCCCACGAGGCCCCCATGGCTAGCTTGGCTCAAGCATCGAAGCGCGCGCAGCCGGCACGGGGTGGCGCAGATGTTCGGCGGCCCAGGCAGGGGCAGTTGCATGGACGCCGAGCGCTAGACGTAGTCATGGAGACGACGCCCAGAGTGGACGCAGCCGCGGCCGCGGGCTCCCGGCCGGCGGCCCCTGCCGACGATGGCTGCTCCAGCCTCAGTGAGACCAGCGCCTCGGAGGGCAGCAACACTCCCTCGTGGGACAGAGACGCCGAGTGCTGGATATCGGCGGTTCAAAGATGAGACCCCGAGGGACGGTACCCTGACGACGAGGGGCCTTAAACATTACGTACTCAACCTGTGGTCCCTTTCTATCCTTCGGGCCCCTTAGGGCCCCCCTCACTCAGGCCCCTAACGGCGAGGGGCTTGACACAGTACATGTTCAACCTGTAGTCCCTTTCTATCCTTACTCTGGATGGGGCAATCATCCCCCCCCCCCGGATCCGCTGGGGGGGTTGGGTTTGTGTTGTCGGAACGGGTGGAGGGGGGGTTGGAGGAGGAGGAGAAGGAGGACGAGGTGGAGGAGGTGGAGCAGGTGGAGGGGGGGGGGGGGATGTGCAAGCTCTGTCGGAAGGTTAGTCGCCCACCCCTCGATGAATATCCCACCCAGAGGAGGGACCCCTCACTCGGGACCCCTCCATCTTTGAACCGCCGAGGATCTGCCGCGAGGACGGTCGCAGCGAGCGGCTGATCAGGCCATGCCTCTGCCACGGCTCGATGAGCGGCGTCCACCAGTCGTGCGTGGAGAAGTGGATCGCCAGCCAGCTCGAGAGCGGTGGCGCTGGCGCAGCCGCGCCCCGCTGCCCTGTGTGCCACCAGGACGGGGTTCATGCCGGTTTAACTGATATTGACTCGATATCGATCCAGGCTGGCCCGATCCGATTCGACCCTGATACCTGGACTCTAGGCCTCGCAGATGGGGTCCGAGCAGATGGGATCGGATGATCGCTCCGCATCGCCGATGCATCGTCGATGCGGCTCGATGCGGAGCCCGATTTGTCCACGCCTCGTCGCCGATGCACCGCCGACGTCCCCGATGAATCGCCGATGCATCGCCGATGCATCACCGACACATCGTGATCCTCCGACCCCATCGACTCGGACCGCATCTAGGAGGCATCTACAGGTCCCCTCGCGTCGTGCAAACACATGACGGACGGTTCTGGTGATTTTCGGCTTCTCGGGTCTCTCTCCCAGCTCCTGGACCGCAAATCAACGACTCGGGATGAAACATCGGTTCCCGAGTCCAAGTTCGCAGAGTGAGGGGGCCGAACGGTCTTCATTGTCCCTGGGTGCGTGGCTGAAGTGGGGATCCGTGGTGAGGATTCTGCTTGTTGTGTTGTTGCGTTGTTCCGTTGTTTTTGTCTGTTCTCGTCGTCCCACCCGCGACCCACCCCGCGACCCACCCCGCGACCCACCCCGCAATCCACCCCGCGACCCACCCCGCAATCCACCCGCGACCCAACCCGCGACCCACCCGCGACTCACCCCGCGACCCACCCGCGACCCACTTGCGACCCACCCGCGACCCACCCGCGACCCACCCCGCGACCCACCCGCGACCCACCCCGCGACCCATCCGCGACCCACCCACGACACACCCGCGACCCCTTGCGACCCGCGACCCACCCGCGACCCACCCGCGACCCACCCCACGACCCACTCGCGACCCACCCGCGACCCAGCCGCGACCCATTCGCCACCCACTTGCGCCCGACCCACCCGCGACCTGCCCCCATTGGTTAAACGAGCAAAATCGGCGCCTGGGGCTGATTCGTTTTATAATTCGTGAAACTTTGGCGCCTGCGGTGGGCTTCTCCAGAGTCTCGCAGACTGCCGACGTCCCCACTGCCCCCACTCTTATCCGCATCTGCGGGATGCTGCGTAAAATCACGACGTTGGGGGTTGGGTATTCCGACTCTCCGATGCGTCCCGACGTTTCCATGCCATTGTTGCGCATCCTGGTGCGGCCGATCCGATTCGATCGCAGCTCCGTACCGATGCAGCCCGATCCGACAGGCTCAGGGAGAGTGCATCGACCCCCAAACGCTCATTCATCGCCGATGAAGCCTCATAGCTCACCGTACCCACGAACCAACCTGCGGTTTCGTAAAACGGGGCCAATCGCCGACCTATGGGCAGTGTAGCGTCAGCTCAAGCTCGCTGCCTCCCCCCTCTTAAAGCTGGTCCCTCCCTGGCGAGGTGCTCCTGCTTGGCCCCACACCGCTCCAACTTGGTCCCTGACCCCCCCCTGGGGTCCATCCTGACCCGGTTTTCCGAAGCGGATCCAGCCGTGGCGGCGAGAAGCATCTGGGAGGCCGCCCAAAACAGGAAAACACCGCCAGGGAGGACCGCCCTGGATTCGACTGGCCCTCCTTGCCGACCCGCGAGGAGTACCGCGGGGACACCGCGCGGCCCGGTGCCGTGGCCTTTGGCCGCTCTCTCTGCGCGGCCGTCTTGCGGCAGGTGCTGCGGTGCGTGCTCCTGATCTCGGTGCTGTCCGTCTACTGGGTCGCCGCGCAGGAGGGAGAGGACTGGAGCTGGGTACTCAGCATCCTTTAAACGATCCCCATCCCCATCCCCATCCCCTTCGAGACCCCCATCAAATTAGCACCCCAGTTGGAGATACACCCTTCGAAACCCGAAGGGAACGACCCATCCCCATCCCCATCCCCATCCCCATCCCCATCCCCATCCCCATCCCCATCCCCTTCGAGACCCCCATCAAATTAGCACTCCAGTTGGAGATACACCCTTCGAAACCCGAAGGGAACGACCTATGTCCCCATCTAGGGGGGTACATCGGCCAGTGGGGCCCAGGCCACGCCGCTGGGGATGGGGATCGGTTGAACGATACTCAGGTGGAGCCGCGGGCGCGGCAGCTGAGGTCGGAGGAGGGCCGGCGGAGACAGCGGCGGCCCCTCCCTGGCCTTTTTTTTCGTCCTCTCTGGTCCCCCCTTCGCCGCCCACCAAACCACCCCAAGCCAACCCGAAGGCTCCGATTTGCCATCCCTTTCCAGTGGGGGGGGGGCGGGGGACATCGAACAAAGAGATATATGGAGCCCGTGCCCCCCCACCCCCAACCCGCAGTGCGGGTCTTCGGGTTGGCTTGGGGGGATCTGGTAGGTAGTTACCCCTGGAGGTTTCTCGTCGCCACGGCTGGATCTGGCTCGAGAAGCGGGGCTGGACAGACCCTGGGGGCGGGTGTCTTGGGGTCGGTTTTGAGCGGATTTTGGGACAAGAGGGGGGGTGGGTGGGCGTGGTTGTCTCAACTGACCCTGCCTCCGATGATGCTCTTCTGCACTGGCGCGTTCTTCTCGTACAAGCTGCTGGTGCTGCTGGTCTCGCTTCCAATGACGGACGAGCCGCCAAGCGGCTGGCGGCGGCTGCTCACTGTGACGACTCCGGTGGACCTCGGCGGCCTCGTTGGGGAGTCGCTTGCGTCCACTGCCATTGGTATCCTGTGGTGCCTCTGCGGCATGATGGGCTTCGAGTACGTTGTGCCGCTGCTGGCCTTCACAGCACTGCTCCTCTTGCGGATGGCCGTTGTGTTCTATGACGACACCTTCTTGGTTGAGCTGGCCCACTCCAGCTCCAGCTTGATCGTGCTGGTCTTCTACACGGCGAAGACCGCGGTGTCACAGCCATGCGCGATATTTTCCCCGGCGAGCGTGGGATTTCACATCGTCGCGGCCACCGTGGCTTTCGTGATCGTCCTCACATGCCAGGCGGAAGACCCTCTGGTCATGTTTCTGCTGGCGCACTCTGCCGTGCTCTTCGCGTGCGTGGTCGAGAACGTGTGCATCAGGAGACTGCGCTGGAAGGCCGGCAGGCGCTGGGTGCTGCTCGTTCACGTCAGCTTGTTCGTGACCTACTCCGCCAACCTGCTCTGCGAGCTGCTGCCGGAGCTGGTGGCCGTGCCGCCCTCGTGGCGGGTGTTCGCCGTCTCCGCGGCCTGGCTCTCCCTCGTCTTGGTGCTGGCCCTGACCGTGAACAGGGGCGCCTTCCTTGAGTACTACACTTCGTGGCAGCAGCTTCACGGGAAGTTCAGGCCTGCGACCGCTTGCGAAAGCTCTGCCCCTGCGAGTCCAGCCGCCGCTGGGGTATCGGATACGCCCCCGCTGGGGTGCACCTGGCTGCAGGCACCCTTCAGATCACGACCCCCAGCCGGTTTTCCCGGAACCTGACCTGCAGGGGTTTGGGGTTCAGAATCGCTCGACACTGGTTCTTGATCCTCTGGCGCGCAACGGTCGTTGCCTGGGCCTGCCGGAAGGGTCACGCTCGTACGCTCTGGAGAGGGCCCGTCGGTGCCCCCAGGCGCCTTTGCCGGTGCTCGCAGGCTCTGCGCAGGCGCCCCACCCCCGCCCGAGCGCCACGGTGGCCCCGCCCCCCCCCCCCCCCCGAGCAGACTGCCGTGGCGGGGAAGTGCTAAGTAGAACCACGGTCTCCACGTGGCTGCCTCGCAGGCTCGGGCGCGCCCGCCCAGGAGAGCCGCAGCGCCAGCAGCGGGCGGCCAGGCGGCCGCGGCCCCCGCCCGACGCCGAGGGCGGCCTCGCCGGGGACGCCGGCGGCGGCGGCAGCACGGCTGCGGCGCGGCACGGCGCAGCGCCCGCCGCCGCCGCAGGAGCGCGGGCGTGCGAGGGCCACGGCGCCGCCGTGTGCCTCTGAGGAGGAGGAGGAGGAGGAGGAGGCGGAGGAGGAGGAGGAGGAGGAGGAGGAGGAGGAGAGGAGGGGGGGGGGGGCGCAGGCTCGGGCGCCCGATGCTCGAGGCTTTCGGGCGTCGTCGTCGGCTCTCGGCGGGCCTGCAGCCTCGGGGTGCTCTCCCAGCAGCTGCGCCTCGCCGAGGTCCAATCCTCCTCTTCCTCCTCCCCCTCCTCCTCCTCCTGCTCCTCCTCCTCCTCCTCCTCCTCCTGCTCCTCCTCCTCCTCCTCCTCCTCCTCCTCCTGGGAGGAGCACCCGGACCCGATCGTTGGCGTTTGCGAAGCGGCCCTGGGCGTTTACCAAACCGCCCTGCCCTGTTCGAGTCCTTTTTTGGGTGCGTTTGCTGGACGGCTTCGCGCGTCGGGGTGATTTCTGTCGGTGTGGGCTTTCTGCTCTCTACGAGAGGTGTCCGGGGGTGCCCAGATCGCCCCGACCGGCCGCCAGAGCGCCGAGCTATGGAGCCAGAAGCCAAGGGACCGAGGGGCAACATCAGGGGGACGGACTCGGGATGGGGAACGCATCGGCCCCAGACCGCCCACTTGTCACCGATGGGGGGCCTCTATAGCCCACCCCGCCCAGGAGCGTGCGGACGCGCAGGAGCGTGCGGAGTCGCTGTCGAGGGCCCATCGCCGATCAAGCGGCGATGTGTCGCCGGCTCCAGGTCGATATGCTCTCCCCGAGCCGGTCCCCCTCGTCGTTGTCCCAGCACCCCTTCGGTCGTCGGACTTGGGTCGGCTCAGCGTGACGGCGTTCCTCGGTGTCGCTGGCTTCTTTCGCCTGGCACGCGAGCATGCCCCCAAGGCGGGTCTCGCTGTACTGCCAGTATGTTTTTGGCTGCGTGCGTGCATGCGTTCGATGGCGAACCTGCGCTCCTCGTCGAGACGCAAGAAGCGGGTAAGAACTACGCAACCCGTCACCCACCACAGAACATGCTCTTGCACGCACGCCGCGCGCCTTCGCGCACCGCGCTGCTGGTGCGGCAGTAGTTAGGAAGCGCCGACGGGTGCTTTGTTAAGAGACGTTGCGCATCTATCTCGCTTATGCGATGTGTGTATAGAGGCAGGGCCTCGGCCGACCTTTGCGGATCCGTCCATGTACAGGAAAGATGCTGTGTAGAGAGGATATACGACTTCCTCATTTCATCATTGCCTGCAGCTAGGTGGGGTCGCACTGCAAGCGCACGGAGCGCAAACAAAAGGCTCAAAGAGCCCCGATGGACCCCAGCATGGCCCCTGCGAGCCCTTGCTCCCTCCCTCTCTCCCTCCCTCCCTCCCTCCTTCTCTCTCGCCACCCTTCCTTCTCCCTTCTCACTCCTTCTCCCTCCCTCCCTCCTCCCCCTTCCTGCTCCTGATCCTCTCCCTCACTCCTCCCTCCTCCCTCCTCTGCTTCTCGCCCTCCTCGGCCCTCCCCCCTCCCCCTTGCTCCTCCTCGCCTCCCCCTCAAGCGTTCGCGTCGCAGAGCTCCGCAGGCCATCGTACGTCCTGAGGCCTCCTCAGCGTGTGCCCGTAATGTTTGCCTCCCCACGCTGCCTCCAGGAAGATGCTCCTAAAGCCTGCTCACAGTGTCAGGGGTCGACCCGAGACGTCAAACGTTTGGGTTGGATGAATTCATTTTGTCTTGACTTGGTTCATGTGCACGGCGTACTTCGTGAGGCTCCTCCTGGGCGCGCGTTGCGCATCTTGGGGGGGGGCGGCTCGCGAGTCTCGTTACCTGTCGTTTCGTGGGGGGTGGGGCCTGGAGTTCGATTTTGCACTCCCTGTTGGTGTCTTGCAGCTGAGCGGCTCGCGAATCTGGCCCAGGAGTGCTAGTTTACAGCCACCGGTAATCGTGCATACTATTTTGCTTGGATTTCTCTTGGGCTTTGGCCTCAGATGTCAGCAAAGCCGAGAACACGAGGAAGCGGCGAGTGTAGACTGCTCATCTTCCCGTAACCCACACCGTCGCTCTTTTTCCTTCCCCTCCTCTTTCCGCCTCCTTCTTCCCTCGTTGGCGGGGCTCGTGTTGAGCCTGCTGGGCGATCTGGGCATCTCATTCCTCTCTGCCTATTTGTCCGCCCTCCTTCTCTCTCTCCCTCTCCTGGCGCTCCTCCTTCTCCTCTCTCGGCGCCGTAGTCCTCTCTCTCTCCCGTGCTGTCGGGAGACGCTCGATCCGTTCCCAATTGCCGAGCCTCCGGAACTCCGAACAGCTTCCCTGGCTCTACCAGTGTGCTCCTCCCTTCCTCTCCTTCTGAGAGAGAGCCCTGGGAGGCCTCGCGCGGCGCGTAACAGTTGTATCATCCAGTCTACACGCCAGCTCCGCAAGCCATGGGTCGACGCTCGCGCGGCGACGCTCCGGCGGCAGCCCGACGTAAATCCGACGTCATCCCGACGCAGTCCGACGTGAACCCGACGCAGATCCGACGTGGGTCCGGCGCAAAGCGGGCCTCAGGTTGCCGCGCAAGGCCTCCGGATGTCCCTCGTAGCTCTCCCCCCCCCTCCGCTCTCGCCGTTGCCCCGGCCCTCGTCGCCCCGGCCTCCCCTCCCCATCCTCGGCGAGCGGGGTCCACTGCCTCTCCCCCCTCCACCTTGAAGTCGGGCCTGTCCCTCCACAGGAGGAGTACTCAAGAATAGTGCAAAAATAGTCTGGGGACGATTTTCTGACTCTTTTTGATTTTGTTGGAGTATTATTTGAGTATACTGTGTTCTTCCTCCAAAGCCCGCCGGTAGGAGGACATGCCCGACCCAACTCTACCTGCTCCGTCTCCCCGATGATCGTAGATCCTCGGGTCGTGCGTCGGATCGAGATACATTCCGTAGAAGCACTGCGAGCGACGCGGCAGCAGGGGTCTATCAGGGCAGGCGGAATCGATGTTGTATGGAAGGGTTTCCCTGTAGGCATGATAACTAGTGTCGGTTGGCATCCCCTTGCAACGTCGCACATGATACTCATGCCGGATGTGGGTCGTGATCGGCAAACAACATTGTCCATGCTGGGTGAAGGTGGCAACCTGACCAGTGTCATTTCCTCGGCCCTCGATTACAAGCGCTTCCTCGACAGGCCGTTACGTTTACCCATTGTCCACTTCAAGTTGCGCGATGCGTCATTCATCTCTGCCATTTACTTCAGATACCTTGCGCGTCGATGTTGCTTTCTTGATATGTTCGCATTACTGCTCACCAGATTCTCCAGCTCATGCATGTTGGTCACATCTGATCTTGAAAGGTGATGAGGGTATGCTCGTGTGATATACCTTTAGATTTAGCCAGCGTGGACCCCAAGCAGTGACGTCTTGCAATCTAGGCGGTGCAATCTAGGTGGTGCAATCAGTGTGGTGCAAACTAGGTGGTGCAACCTATATGGTGCAGTCAATTTCTGTTCGCAGTGAGTTTTCCACTCCACTGCGCGCGCAATCATCCCACCCACCCGCCCGCAACTTGGTTTGCAAAATCCCTGCGGCGGCGATTGCGATGAGTGCTTGGAGTTGGCTGGTGCATCTCTGCGGCCGCGCTAGCCCGCGCATGCTCGCGCGCACAGCGGTCAGCTAGTTTGGCGCGACCGACGCGGCCGCGGTGGCGCTGACCGCTTGGTATTTCCCAGCGGGTACTTCAGTGCGAGTCGGCGACTTTGGCGCGCGCGGTATTTTGGGAACGTCGACGACGGTAGACGCGATGATGATGGTAGCGATGGTGGTGACGAAGATGACAAGGACGATGGCAAGGCCAGTGCCGGCGCCGGTGCTGATCACGCCGACGACGGTGACGGCGTCTTCGCGTCGGTGATGCGGGTTTTGAACGGAGTTCGACATGCGCGCGCGGCCGACGCGCCAGGGTGGCCCGCATGATCTGATTTGACACGGATCGAACCCTCCAGCGCGCGCAAGGGCGTTCGAACGATTTCGACGTGCGGCGCGTTTGGTCGATCTTATGAACATGTTGAACAACCAACGGTTTTGTTAAACATTCGCAGGAACGTGACCGCAAGCATTTTTCGAGAAGTGATGTTGCAAAACATTTTTTGTTTTTCGGGGCGCTCGATTTTGGTAACCCTTAGAAGCGTACGTCTTTTGCAGGATTCCTGCATCCGTTCGCGACGACGCGCGCATGCGCACTTCGTCTCAGTTTTTCTTGCAAGGGGTTCTTGCGACAGCACGCGCGCAAGGGCGCTCGAGCGATTCCGACATGCGCGCGCGAAAGACCCTCTTGGTAGCAGTTGATAAAACTGTTAAGATATTTGTTTTCGTTAGAGTTCGCGAGAGCCCCGGCGCATTATTTGTATATGTATATCGATACACGTGTGCGTATATAAAATGAAACCAGTTGCGACACCATATATTTTTAGTATTGCTCGGGATACTCGGTGTAAATCCTTGCGACACCAAGCTTTTTCGAAGGGTTTGGGCATGCGCGCGCGACGACGCGCGCGTGTGTGCACATCGTCATGTTTTTTGTAAGTGATAATTGAAAACTGGTGGTTTTGGATAAACGAGTGTGCGCGCATTTCTTTTTGCAAGGGATGAGGGGAGGTACTGATAACGGCCTGCATGGGATGGGGTAGATTCAGAATTACGGTGGGCGATGGATGGGACACAGTCGTATGCAAATTGCAATACGAGAACAGGAACCGTTGATTCGGGGGGGGGGCTGAATATTTTTGCAGACAGGGGAATCTATGTGGTGCACAGCAATGCAAACATATGCAAAACCATGCAAAACAATGTAAAGCAACGCGATTGCAATGCAACGCAATGCGAAACAATGAGAGGCAATGGGAAACAATGCGAAGACATGGGAAACCATGCGACACAATGCAAAACAATGCAAAGCAATGAGAAGCAACGCGAAACAGTGAGAAGCAATGCGAAGCAATGCGACGCAACGGGGCGGCGGCGAAGGGGCGGTGACGACGGGGCGGCGACGACGCGACGGGGCGACCACAAGGCGGCGGACCCGCTAACGGAGCCCAGACGACGGGCGGCGACGGGGCGGCGACGGGGCGGCGACGGCGACAACAGGGCGGCGGACCCGGCAATGGAGCCCAGACGACGGCCGGCGACGAGGCGGCGACGGGGCGGCGACGGCGATAACAGGGCGGCGGGCCCGGCAACCAGGCCCAGACGACGGGCAGCGACGAGGCGGCGACGAGGCGGCGACGGCGATAACAAGGCGGCGAACCCGACAACCAGGCCATCCTTTCAAAATGCTTGCCAGCCTAGACCCCAAACCGTGTGTTTGTTTCTAACAATTTGTTTGTGCAATTTACGTGGTGCAATCCACGTGGTGCATTCTATGTTGTGCAAGGTATTTGGTGCAATCTATGTTATGTAATCTGTGCTGCGCAGTCTTAGTGGAGCAATCTATGTGGTTCAAATCAAATTCTTTGGTACAGATTACGTGGTGCAATTCACTTTGACTGTCCTCTCCACTGCTCGTGCAAACATCCCACCCTCCCACCCGCAAGTTGGTCACATGACTTCTTAAGACCGTGACGGTGGGTACCAAATAACACTTGGCAACGACAGCGACGCCGACGACGACAGCGACAACGACGACGAAGAATACGACGACACCGACGACGTTTCCGACGACTGGGGCGACCAACGACGACGACGACGACGGCGACACCGACGACGACGACGACGACGCCGACGCCGACGACGACGACGACGACGACGACGACAACGGCGACGACGACGCCGACGACGACGACGACGCCGACGACGACGACGAAAGCGACGACGACGACGTCGCCAACGAAGACGATGACGACGAGGGAGGAGGAAGGACGACGACGGCGACAACGACAACGACGAGGGAGGAGGGAGGACAGCGACGACGCGAACGACGAAAGAGGAGGGAGGATGGCGGCGCCGACGACGACGACGACGAGGGAGGAGGGAAGATGACGACGACGACGCCGACGCCGACGAGTTCGACGACGATGACGACGCCGACGACAACGGCGACCACGACGCCGACGACGACGACGCCGACGACGACGAAGACGACGACGATGACGACGACGTCGCTAACGAAAACGACGACGACGAGGGAGGAGGGAGGACGGCGACGCCGACGACGACAACGACGAGGGAGGAGGGAAGACGACAACGACGACGACGACGGCGACGAAATAGGAGGGACGACGACGAGACGCCGACGACGGACGACGACGACGACGAGGGAGGAGGAAGGACGACCACGGCGGCAACGACGAC